AGACAAAAGATTGGTTCGGCCTTGGGGATAGCGGCTTCGGGGTGGAATGGAAAAGAAGCGTTGGCCGATGATCGTAATCTTCTTGTACGAAGCGGCCGAGAAGAGTCAGTGGGAGTAGATGGGCAGTACGAGCGATATGGTGCAGGACATTGCTGTATGGAGGGGGCACACGAGGTTGGGCTTTTTGTAGCCTCACACCATATAATTAATGGGACATATACTTGGGGATCATCTCTGCTGTTGTTTGGTCGCGGGAGAAAAGGGGTTGTTTTTTGGTCGCGGGAGAAAAGGGGTTGTTTTTTGGTCGTCTGTCTTGACTGGCCGAGTGCCCCTCCCTGCATCGCTCCTCGTTTCCGGTGAGGGGATGAGACAGCGGGCTCAAGTGACGTAACTGGACTGTGATGCCTCTCCTTGCGAGTCTAGCATTTCGCATGCAACTGAGGACTGGCAAAGCGTCGGAATATTGACTCCGAACTCGGCATTTATTTTGCACTCAGTTTGTTCCCAGGCCAAAATACCAGCCTCAAGTATCGACTTCGAGATGTGAGGATACTGTGCGAGAAGGACTGTGCCCAGCAATTGTCCGCTTTATCAGCCCCACTGCGCACTGTGCATCCGTCCCGTTGGCAACTGGATCCAGCCCTGCCCAGCCCAGCCCACCGCCAAGCACGGGCGCGTTCCCGAAAACCGCCAGATTGCCTTGGTTGCTGCAATGCTGGCGACGATACATGCCATGCCGAAATAAAACGAGCCTTCGCCGCCTGTTCCTATGGAGCAATCCCCCCTTACGCACCAGCCTCGGCCGGAGGTATTTACGCCCAAGGTTGTGAGGCTCTATGAGGAGCTGTTCAAGGTGCGTTTTTCTGTCTTGCTTGTTGGATTGTGGTTTTGGGTTGGGGCCGTGGTTCCTGCCCGCAATTTTATTTGGGCTGTGGTGCTTGCGCTGCTCCCGCCAGCGCTGGTGATAATGAAGGGCGGTTGCTAATGGCTTGGGGTCGGCTAGGATGACGACGACGGCGACAAATCCGAGGGCTTCTGGCGCGAGTTTTTCCTGCTCAAGCCGGATCGACCGGCGCTGCGGCGCATCCTAGACGAGATCGCGCCTGGTGAGCTGCTGCACCTCGACCTGCAGACGAGACAGCTTTTCTCAAGAGCTGTTGCGGCGCTGAGGAATCCGCATGGGGTGGCCGATTTGCATGCGCTAGATGTGAGTGTGTTTCCTGGGATTGGGCTGGGCATGCGATCTGACTTGCTTTTGGTGGTGCGCAGACCCTGAGCACGTTTCTTATTGCCGTTCTGGCGAAGAAGTATACAAATCCGAGCTCCGATATTATCGAGGTGCTGGCTGGGTTGGACCACGTCGACACGGTGTTTACGGAGTTTGTTGGGGCGCTGGATACCATCATACGCAATGGGAGGACGTGTTAGTTTGTCCGATGGTCGTGAGAAGAGCTGAGCTGACATGGGAGCAGTGGACTTGCGGCAGAAGGCGGTCGAGGTTGCGCTGGCTGTCACATCGGGGGCGTACCAGACGACGCTGCTCACATATTTTATCCAGAGGGATTTGTTTCCCTCGGTGATGAAGGTAGGCGGGAGTTCGGCTAGGAACAAGGGGTTGATGCTGACGCTCGCAGTTCATTCAAGATGCCGACACGCCAGAAAGGATACGAGAGCCGTTTACCTTGATCGGACTGCTGGCGAATTATAACAAATTTGAGTTCCAGAATCCGTACCAACTAAGGTTAAACGACTTCGTCAACGAAGCCACCATCAAGAAAATCATCAAGAGCATGGGCGCGGCATGTCAGGCATTAAGGGCGCCGTATATCGCTGTACAGGACGACCTACCAGAAGGATGGACAATTGCTAGCACCCTGAACATGATCGGGCTTGGAGCGATAGCGCCTGGGGGGAAACCTCCACCAAAGCCAGTCTACGACGCCGAGACAGCGAAGAAGAAGTTCTCCGAGCTGTGAGTCCACTGTTGCCCCGAGACTCACACAGTTGCTGACAGTCAAGCAGCCCAAAAGAAGAGGCAGCGGTCCTTCTCGGCACGTACGACTTCACCCACGCCAACAAGTTGTTTTCCTACAATCTTGTCACCCTCCCAGTCGAAAAGGGAGAGGAGCAACCATTTGCATGCTTCCTCTCCCTCAGCTCATATCTTCTGCAGCACGCTCACCTGTCACAACGAACCACACTTTACTCCCATTTATGTCTCATGGTGTTCCGCCTTCTCATCGAAGACCCAATTCTCTGCAAGAGGATGTGTAGCGACGAGGGCAAGACTGCCATCCGCCTCTGCCGTCAGCGATCGCCATATCTGCCACTTGTGCAAGGCGAGCGCGTCGTAGCGACGGCGCTGATGGACACTATGCTTGATGGCATCAACCACAATCTGCGCAGGCGGCTGGATGTCGGGTTCTACACATTATGCGTTGGCATTCTCCTGCGCATTATCAGCTACATGTCTCGGTCAAGAACAAGACTGCAATATCACTGGGCACATCTCTTCCAGTCGCTATTATCGCTGATACGGTTCCTGACGACTTACGCGAGCGATCTGAAAGACGCGCCACACATCAATACCCTGCTGGACCACGTTGTGAACCTCATTGCTCTAGGGCTATCATCCGGGGAGTCATTTCTCCCAACGCCAGCAGCGTATGATGACTTGTTCTACAAGGTTGTCGAAACGGGCGAAGTACTCGTCAAGTTCCGGGACATCTACAAGCTGGTAAATCGACCAAGCAACTCAATCGATACGCTGGTCAACGTCAGCACACATTACAAGGAGATGCTGGCGGAAAAGAGGATTGGGGGCGGGAAAGCGGCGGGCAGACGGATCGGGTCGCAGTTGACGAGTCTCCAGGTAGCGGAAGTGATCAAGCAAGGATACGAAACATTGAGCATACAGGCCAAAGAAGGGCTAGACAGTTGGGAGAAGTACCGCGAGGCAGACGAAAGGACGCTGCTCAAGAAGATGGCGCGTGCTGCCGTTGGGGATGTCAAATTGTTGGTAGCAGGGTGAGTTGGCCAACAGACGGCTCTGCGATTGACTTTCGCTCAACGATTGAGCTTCGGCGCATCGGACGAGATCGGATTGGCAGCGTGGTCGGCACGGTCAAGTATTGATGACTGTGGTAACCTTTCATGATGAATTGTATAGGGCATTGGGGAATAGCAGGCTTGCTTCCGCATTAGAATACCACCTTCAAGAAGCTTTCAACTCGAGTTGTTCCCTTTCGCATTCCTGTAGTGACTTCGTTCCCTGAGGCGGAGTCGTTGAGCGTTGTGAGTTGGCCCGCTTCATAATACCTGGTCCGTGATTGGCCGACGGGAACCGGGCGGACCCGAAAGGCTTGGCGTCATGTCATCGCTCGGCTGATCGAAGTCGCCAACCGCTTCGGAGCCCGCAGCAGGCGAATGTTTGCACTTTGCAACCGAGCATTTCCAATCCCGATCCTGAAATCTTTCGCCTCCGCGCCCGATCCTCAGCCCTCGACACACCACCACCCGCCGTCTCCCAATTCCCAACGCATATCACAGAATCGTCACGATGAGCGCGCCACGTCTATTGTCCAGGAGGATACTGTCCGTCTGCCTCGACTGTCGCCGCACCCTCCTCCGGCAGCACCGCCAATTCTCCTCTACCCCCGGCCGCGCCGTCGCCGCCTTCCAGTCCTACCCTCTCCCCTCTCAACCACCATCACAGCCGCGAAACGCCTCTGCTCCCGACACCTCAATCACGCATCCCGTCGAGTCCCTCCCGAGGGTACACGAGACCCGGCCACCGCCAAACCACCCCTCCTCCCCCGCGCCGGCGCCGTCGACTTCAATACCCGAGCAAGTCGCCCAAGCCTCCCGGCCAAGCTTCGCATCACCCGCAAGCGCCGCGCAGCAGACCGTCTCGCCACAAGCTCAATCAGCCCCCAAACCCGCTGCGAAGCCGAAGTCTCGCCTGCGCACCCCGCGCAAGGCCGCCATGAAGCTCACGCCCGCTGCGGTAGACCAACTACGGGCTCTCCTCGATCAGCCGGACCCAAAGCTCATCAAGGTTGGCGTGCGCAATCGCGGCTGCAGCGGGCTGGCGTATCACCTCGAGTACGTTGACAAGGCGGGCAGCTTCGACGAGACGGTCGAGCAGGATGGGGTGCGGGTGTTGATTGACAGCAAGGCGCTGTTTAGCATTATTGGGAGCGAGATGGATTGGGTGGAGGATAAGTTGAGCCAGAGATTTGTGTTCAGGAATCCGAATATCAGTGAGTAATTCTGAGAGTTGATGGTAGTGAGAGACGCTGACTTTGATGCAGAGGAAGAGTGTGGATGCGGAGAGTCGTTTATGGTATAGACGGGAAGGAGATTGAGTTTACGGGAGCGGGAGAGGCTGAACCGTTGGGGAGGTTATGGTTGTCTTCGAGGTCGGGATGCGGGTTCTCGCGGCGGATACGCCCGCATTTTCGCTCTCGACCACTGCATACGAATGGGCGTTTGGGTAGAAAGGCCTCTATCATTACTTGTATTTGCTGTAGGATATGGAACATGGAGTCGGGAAGAGATATCCCGACATTGCATCGCTGCGTTCAAGTTGTAGCAACATGTCGGCGTTCAAATTTAGCCACTGGCGTGCCATTGAAGAGTTTGACGGCGTTCGTGATAGCCATTGCTGTGTCTCTTTGAGAGTCTTGCAGTGGGACACGCCTACGGCGCGTCTTGCCTGTCGCTGTTGCTCATTGTGTGTGTGCTCAGCATTTGCATCGGTCTTCTCTGCCGAAGAGAGCTTTCTTCGCCGGTCCGAGCCGGCCACCGTAGCACGTCATCGACGCTAAACCCTCCGTCCCGCAACGCCTGCCGTCGCCCATCCTACCATTCCATGAAGCCGGCTCTAAAAATTAAACCCAAAAAATTAGGATCGTTAGTTAGTCTGTCACTGACAGACTCCAGATTAAATCTGGGTCCTAAAAAGGAAATAAAAAGTACCAACCAGGGCACTAGCGAGCTGCGCGATCCGAGGTTCGAACTCGGGTCCCTCGCTGATCCAATGTGGGAATTGGGAAGCGAGAATTCTAACCACTAAACTAACCGCGCTAGAAACCCTTTTTGGTTGATGAATTTTAGGGTGCTAATTGCACCTCTTGACTAGCACAACATGGTGCGGGGTAAGGGTGACGTTTGTGCGGGAAAAGGGGCGAGGGAAATCAGGAAAAGAGGTATGTTTTGTCGGCTCGGAAATGGATGGGGGTCGTGTCCAACCAAGATTGATAAGTCAAAAGTTCACGTAGCACACTGTGTTTACTTTGCACGGTGCCGAAACAGGAGGGCCGATCACGGCCCGCCGTCGGGTAGTGGTCACTGAGGGCATTCCCGGCTTGGAAGTGGGGGCGGGGTCAACACCACGCAGTGCATGCAACATGCAAGGAAAGGCCTCGTTGTTGCTCCAAGCTCAACTCCCTGTAGATTGAACCAAGAAACCATACAGCTTGGCCTCTACGTCACGAAACAACAATATGTTAACCCCAGCGGCAACCGTAAGCCGCGCTTTAGTATTTGAACCAAAAACATCCCGCCCAGCTTTCTCAAAGTGCAACTTCGTCGGATATCCCTCAACTCTCCGAACCACGCCTTAGACCCTCTATCAGTGTGGGCCCGAGCGGGATGTGCTCAACTTGCTACGTCTGCAGTGCCTGCAGCAGCGCCATTCCCAACTCGTCCGAGTCAACTCCCGAGCAGAGCCTCGCGACCACATTTAGCTCGTGGCCCCCACCACGCCTTCAAGAGGGTATAGGCGCCAGCCTATGACTTTGGCCGTTCCTGCATATTCTGTAGCGCGGAATCGTCGCAATGCAGGTCGATGTAGTTGGCGGGCTTGCATTATCAGGAACTTTTCTGTTGTCTGAGACTTGAGGACGCACGGGGAATGGCTGTTGTGATGGCGAGTTGTGGAAAATTGGGCGAGGCTCTGAGAATTGCTGCGGGTGCCTGGCGCCTAGAAGGGGTCCCGGCCGCTTCGATGCATGGTGGAGGTTTGGCCTTTCCTTGTTGGGCAGAGCTGAACGGAGCAGAGCATTTCCAGCTTGTGGTTCAAGGGGATAAATATCAGTGACTGCATTTTTTCCTGGGACGTGATGAGAAAATGTTCCCCGCGCCTCTCTCGCCACTCTCTGATCTGATGCCAAGATGGATTCCTGTCTGGCTCTTCTTGCTGGAATTCAGAACGGAACTCGGGAGTTTGAAGGTGTCACTAACGAGACATTACCCTCGACAGGGTGGTTGTGGGATGGCCCCATTGCGCTGCTGAGCAAGGATGTGCCCAGGGACAGTATTATAGCGATGACGTATGCAGGTATGTCGAAATCGATGCATTGATGACTTGGCCAGGTGGTGCTGATCCGAATAACCCACTCTAGGTTGTCGAAAGCTCTGCAGTACAGAGATGAACTCCCCCAAAGCCGTGCTCACCATCACCACAACTTGGATATTTCCGCTGGCAATCTTATTCGGGCTCCCTTACGACTCGCTTCATTACAAGAAGTTCCGGGGGACAGTCTCGGCTCTGTCCAACTGGCTTGGATCTCCCCAGACGGCTATCACTTCAACCATCTTCAACTTTGATCAAATCCGGAAATGCCATCGGCTAGCGAGCAAAGGGACTCCTGAAGATACTTATTACGTCTTGAGTTGCTTCAACCAGTTCACCATCCCTATGCAAGGCAGCGGGCCAGAGGTGAACGAACAGTTCGTGACAACACTCATCTACGGCTTGTTCAGGCCGCTTCGAGATGGGCCTCAGAACTTCGACCAGAAGAACATCGACATCGAGTATACCAAACAGCTGCTCGCCCTCTTGGCCTCCCAACTTCGTCTCTTGCGTCGGCGAGGAGTTGTGCCCATGATGCTCAGCCTCGGGACGTTCCTTGCGGCGTTCATCTTCTCTATATACCTGGCCTTCGGCTCGGCCGGCGAGGGCGTCGATGTCACAGCACTGACCCTCGGCCTGCTGTACTCCTGGCTGCCAATGCTGGTCATCTGCACCATTGTCGATCGCAACCCTGTGTCGTCTGAACGCGTCCAAGAGCTAATGTCGCGATGGTTGTACAACGCCGAGGCCGTTCGAAGGTGGAAGATCGAGGGAGCCAGCCCTAGCAAGAGAATCAGGTGGTGGACCGACGGTATTCCACAACACTTCAAGCTGGGGGGCTTTGTCGGCCAGGGTCGGCGGATGCATTTCTGCGGCCTTGCCCATGCAACGACCTTCTCTCTGGCAGATCCCAAGCAAATAAACGACAGGAACGGGTTAGGCGAATAATTACGAGCGGCTGGCCCAGCAAGTCGTCGCGAAGCTGAATGGGCGGCGGCCAGGGCTCTGGTTTTCTTCGGCGGTTCGGGCCTTCCTCCTTGTATGGGTGCAGATATTCATGGCGTTCACCGTTGCGATCACGTCTCCCACGGCTGGGATCGGGTGCTGGTCGGGCAGCATCATGTTTTTCGGGGTGTTGTCGACCTTCAGCTGGTTCGTGTCGCTGTTCAACAAGTCGTGCGGGCCGAAACTCCGGATCCTGTGCCACATCGTCAACATCATCGCCATCCTCTTCTTGATCTTCTTGACCGGGCTGATAGTACGTACTCGATTCTTCAATTACCGTAGAAAGCTCGCTGACAATACCCAGCTAACAGGAGCGCTGAACAACTGCTACTGCAACACCAACTGGTTTGCCTACCCGTATTCGGGAGGGTACATGGCGTTCGAAGCGTATGAGTTCGTCAGAAGCAACTACGACGTGGTTGCTCCTTGCGCTGTGGCTGCTTCGGTTGGTTTCGTCGTGTCGATGGGCTTTTTCCTGTTCGAAATGACGTGGTGGATGAAGTGCAAGCATTTGTGGAAGACTATCGAGCGGGATAGACCCATTCCATTGGCAACGCGAGTGCGAGCAGATATGACCTGGTTGCAATGATTGGTGGCAGTCGAGTGTTTGCCCACGTTGGTGCAGGTTCGGAGAGATGCCCGAGCTGGAGTCGGCCCCCGTGCTTTCCTTCGCAGATGTGATGAAGGGAGATGTGGGGAGCCATCTTGCCATTGGCTCCAAACAAGCGAAAACTGGCGCGAATGCGCACGGTCAAGACCTTGAACCAAAATGAAACTGCTCGAATCCCTTTCCTCCCTTCACCACCGTTGCTCTCTTCTCCCGCTGTCTGGGCTGCGTTTCCCACCGCCTTTCTAGGCCCGCCATCTTAGTTGCGTGACCGCGGGGTGCCACTGCCGCACTCGCCGCTTCATCATGAAGACCCGCCCGAATCACGGGAATAAGGCATTCGAGGACGTTCTTCTCATGCTGGAAGATCCCAGCCAGGTGTTTTCATTCCTCGGCATGCCGGATTCGGGCGGCGAGAAAGCGCCCGGCTCTGACGTTGACCGTGGTATAGACGACCAAGACTCTGAGCCTCCACGAAAGAGAGCGCGGCGAGTAGAGATAGCGGACGGGGACGGCTTTCCGGCTTCTCAGGCCCCTACGACATTCTGGCTGGCGTCTCAGATACTCGCGCTGGCGTCTCCTGTTTTCCGCACTGAGCTCCAGGGTATGCTTCCAGCAGCAGTAAAGCCAGAGGGCGGGCAGCGGCATTATGGGTAGCCCCCACCAGTAGACAGTAGTTGGTTTAGCAGGACAATAGTATATATGGAGTTAATCTCAGAGGCCACCAGACCAGCTTGGTGTCCTCCCTAACTCCCACAAAGTTTTCCAGTCTTTCTGGTACCATCTGTATAGCATCCTAACAACAGGGGTGTCTCCGTGCCCCCGCGTAGAACGTTTCCGGACGAGGGCGTGCGGTTCGGGCCTAGCGGGAGCTTCAGATCTTGGAATATGTCGAGGTGAGATCATCAGAAGGCGGAACTGTCGTTAATTTGATGAATGGGTATAGATCAGGAATCCGGCGGACACGGTCAGACTCGGGAACAATTGTCAGCTTCGAACGGCGGGGCTCGAACTTGGCCAACTTGAACATGCGAGAGTGACACGCATGCTGACGATTGACGTAATACCCAAAATCACCATGCTCGGAAGGCCACGCACAAGCTAGATGAAGGTGGTGATCACGTTTATATATCTCTGGTCTAGGTAGAGGTACTCCTGACAGCCTGGAAGGCCCTTGCTCGACTTGCCTTTCTTCCGAAGACTGTCGGCGACTATGAAAAGAACTTCATCTATAAAGGGAGGATGAGCCCGGAGATATGCAATACTTCCCGTTGTCAACATAACTGCCATCATCTTCGAACCAAGACCCGTAGCATATCCTGAAAGCCTCAACAACATGTCTCTGACCATCGCTGACCTCTAGGAGCGGAACAAGTGGGGGTTTACCCCTACCCTTGATGACCGAATCAAAGCTGCCAACTTTCATCACTAACTTCCCAAACCTCCGGGGCTTCCTCTATATATGACAACCCCATCCACACCTTTGCGGAGATGAAAGTAAGCGGAGCCCCTCTTCCCAGAGCTATGATCGGTATGTAATCTCTCTCACCTTCATCTCTACGCCCACTGCTAACAATGACGACCAAAGTAATATGCATGGGCCCTCGCTGCATCCCCGAAACCCTCCTCGACCTCCAAATCGGAGGTAAGTTTTTGTCCTTTCCGCCCCCCCTTTTTCCCTATCCCCACTAGCCAACCCCCTTTCGGTCTTCAGAGGTCCCCACCCTCCGCAACGCTGGCGGCAATTTCCGCCACGCCCTCCGCGACATCACTATCATGGACGAACTCTTCGGTCTCGAGTCGCTTCTGATCATCCGCCATACCGACTACGGGACACTGCAGTTTACTGAGCAGTGGATGAGTGATAGGGTGAAAGGGAGAGTTGGCGAGAAGGACTGGGTGTTGGTTGATGGAATGTAGTGTTTTGGGCTAATAGGGAGTATGCTGTCACCCCTTCTTGCTGTTTGTTTCTCTTTTGTTTGCTAAAGGGAGGGATGTTGACATGAGGCAGTATTGTGGAGAGTGTCAAGGGGGATGTGGAGTGGGTGAGGGCACCCGTTGATCAGGGAGAAGGTGAAGAGGGGGTGTCGGAGTTTCGTGTTTGATATTAAGACGGGA